ATTAAGGCTGGTGCATATGACGTGAGTCTGAATTTCCAATGATTTGCCTGCACAGTGTTCACTACAAGATTATTAAAGCTATTACAGCTACAAATGCAACATCTGATTATATTGCTAAAAACTCTGATGATAAATTGATGTCATCTTCAGTTCCTTGGCTTCCTACAAATTCATACAAAAATGATTAAATGATGGATTCTTGTGTTGTATCTTATGTCTGTATGTAGTTTCCTTCTCCTGAGTGGGACACAGTGACCCCTGACGCTAAAGATCTGATTAATAAGATGTTGACTATCAATCCTTCTAAGCGCATCACAGCTGCTGAAGCCCTCAAACACCCCTGGATCTGCGTATGTGTTTCAACAACACACACGCAAATACTAACATGCATGCTTCTTTATATACTAAAAAAGAATTTCCTAATCCTCACTAATGACTTGTAATCATTCTGTCTCTTTCTGTAGCAACGCTCCACTGTAGCCTCTATGATGCACAGACAGGAAACCGTGGAGTGCTTGAAGAAATTCAATGCCAGAAGGAAACTCAAGGTTAGATTTGGTCTGACTTTCTTTGAACATCTACATGTCCTTTGATCAATCTTCAGCTTTCTTCACACTGTCAGTTTACTTCAGAGTTTTAAAAACTATGCATTTACCTCCTTAGTGCTTGCAAGAGAGATTCTTTTAAATGTAATGCTTTGTATTATTGCATTACTCCCTATCTTGTTATACTAATTACATTATAATTGCCAATTATTCATGAAAACAATTTAGTTATGTGTAATTTAGTTAGATTTGATCAATCCACCAGCAGGGCAACCCTGGGCCAAGTGGTGTTGTGAGGAAGGGAACATTTTCAATTGTATTTGCCAGAAATGTAACACATTACATATTTAAAAAAGTAACAGCGGTATTGTATGTAAATGAGAAAAATAGTGTGTTAATTTATTGATTTTTTCCAAAAACTCCAAGAATTATGTAATGTAAAGATTACTTGCAATGCTCAAAGCTGACAAGGTATTCTAGCAATCCTCCGCATACATGATGAAAATAAGGGTATACATTGCTTCTGCTTCTGTACTATTCTTTCTTTCATTTCTCTCTTGCTTGTTGTTTTTTTCCTTTTCTTTAATTTCCTAAACTTCTTGCAACTAGGGTGCAATTTTGACCACTCTCCTGGTCACAAGAAACTTCTCAGGTATGTCTGGCTCTGCTGACCTGTATGTGTGAATGCGTGTGTGTGTGTGTGTGTGTGTGTGTGTGTGTTTGATTCTCATAATGCTATTTTTCATTAATCTTGTTATTGGTTATTTTACAGTTAATTTGTTTTTTATTATTAATCTTTACATTTTTAAAGCAAGGTGATAAAGTACGCCTTTTCAGACATTTTATTTAACCTTTCTTTCCTGTTTATCATTGCTTTATCTCTTTTTGGGGGGGTCCTGTGTGTCCTGTGAGGTAAGAGTCTGTTTGGACATAAGAAGGGGATGTGTTTTTACTCTAACCAGTGAGCTGGTTTGCTTGTTTGACACACTTCCC